CCTTGCCATAAGGCGGATAATAGTAACCACCCATTGTCGACCACCCGTTCCCTTGCCAACAGGTACATAATAGTAATACCCATCGTAGTAGTCCCAGGACCCATAGCCTCCACGATAGCCCTTACCACTGCCCTAAGGAAAGAATTATCATTATCCAGTGTTATATAACAACTAATAATTATTATATACCACACTTCCCCGAAATTACCTTTCTCCCTTTGCCTTTTCGACCGCCATATCTCGGCGCCTCTCCGAAGTCAGACTCAGAGTTCCTGACAACACAATCACGATCCACCATGAAAAACGAAACCAATATTGATGACGAAAAAGAAAACATCATTGCGCGAGTCAATACCCTTCGTGGTCGCTCTCGTCAACCTCCGAATCTGGCAAGGGCTCTTGATACCCCGGCTTGGACTTATCCAAAGGCTTAGTTGACATCGTTATAGTCGCCAAAGACACCATTCGGGTAGTAGTCTCCTTTTCCTACAAACGAGATGCTTGACCACGATCCGAAGCTGATCCTACTCCTCTCACTCTTCGACCATCATTCCTGTCCAAAGTCTCTTGGAGTTCAACCGCTGACAACTGAAAAAGGTGCAAACTGGACCTCTTTCGTATCATACCACGCTGAACCTAAGATACCTCAGTCAACTGATATAGCCCACGATATCTCCTCTTCAAAGTCTCAGCCACATTGACCGCCTTCGAGATGGCTTGCCCAGACGCAACGATCTGAAACGCACCCAAGATACCACCGCACAGTGAAGAATTTAAGATACCACCGCACGACCGAGAACAAAAGATACGACCGCACAGTGAAGAATAAAAGATACGACCGCACAATGAAGAATAAAAGATACGACCGCACAGTGAAGGATAGAAGATACGACCGCACCTCGAAGACTTTAAGATACCACCGCACAGTGAGGAATAAAAGATACGACCGCACAGTGAAGGATAGAAGATACGACCGCACCTCGAAGACTTTAAGATACCACCGCACAG